GGGGAGATACTGTGTAATATACTAGTATACCGCTACAGTACGCATATAGCAATGACCTATGTTACTGGCTGATAATTAAGATTTTCTATGGGTGAAAGAATTTCTTGAAATGACAAAATTTGAGTTTATTTATTACAAAACTATACATTAAAATAAATTAGAGTGTCTGTTTGTAATATTGATATAACCGTTTTTTACTACATGCATATGAATATAAATACGATACATACACCAAAATAACATTTTTTACAATTTTTGTCTGTCTGTCTGTCGGTCTGTTTGTTCCGGCTGATCTCTGAAATGGCGGGACCGATTTTGACGGGCATTTTTTGGCAGGTATCTGATGTAATAAGGACTAATTTAGGCTATTTTAATTTTAGAAATATCAAGTTAAATTCCACACGGACGAAGTCGGGAGTACAGCTAGTTAATAAATAAACGTACGAGAAGAGTCTGTCCTGTTTATAATATTACTGTAGGAAATTTTATACACACAATAAGACGTTTTCTTGTAAACGACAAATTAGTGCGTCAAGAGAGCCTGGTTAGACTTTCTAAAAACCTGTTTACTTTAAAAATACAGGTCTGTTGTAAAATTACTAGATCTAAGTTCTCCGAAAGGACCATGCGTGAGTGGTGTCAAATAAAAATAGAAATAGAAATATACTTCATTGAAACTCAATACAAGCACTTGTGATGTTTTTTTATTCTACTACTCCAGGGTGATCATAACACTTGTCAGTTTCTTTGCCATTTCGATTTCTTAAAAAGGAGCCCCATGTTAGTACTATTATATGGTGTTGCCATAATTGAAGTTCGAATGTTGCGCTAGCATAAAACCCGTTGTGTTTGGACATTTTCTCATACTTTTGAGAAACAATTGAGGCCCTTTAAATGCGGTCAAAGACGGTCCGCGTACCCAAAACAACATTACTGTTATTATTGTAAATACTTAGCTACTATGTAATTTGTCACAGTCATGCGACATTGTACTCAAGAACACCTTCCATCGTCTGATAGAACACGTGAATCTTCGTTGCATGTGACAGAATCTACCATAATTATCATGGCACCCCATTAATTTCTCCATACTGAACACGGGTTTCCCATACGTGGAGATCAAAATAAGTGTAGTCCTTTTATTTTAATGTTAAAAACAGCGCAGTAAATATTGGGGAGTGAATATTGGTTTATTTATGGTGATGTACCTACTATTTATTATATATCTGTGACTATGACATAATTATGGACATATTGACAGACTATAGTAGTGCCTCAATATATTTATAATTTATATATCTATACATCAAATCTAAATATAAATGAAATTGGAGTGTCTGTTTGTAATATTGAAATAACCATTTTTTACTATGACATGCATATGAATATATATACGGTACATACACCAAAATATCATTTTTTATAATTTTTGTCTGTCTGACTGTCGGTCTGTTTGTTCCGCTAATCTCTGAAATGGCTAGACCGATTTTGACGAGACTTTTTTTGGCAGGTAGCTGATGTAATAAGGAGTAACTTAGGTTACTTTTATTTTAGAAAAATAATGTTAAATTCCACGTGAACGAAGTCGCGGGAACAGCTATATGTCATATAATATACTCAATATACATATATACTCAATATATTTCATAATTTATGGGTTACGCTCTTGTCGGTGGAGCTCTTGCCACTTTCCGCGATCCTCCATCAAGCTCTTTAAATACTAATAGAATTTGATACGACACTTCTTTTCACGATTTTGATCTTAATTTGCTTGATGTATATGTATCATCAATGTACACACATCCTATGTGGTTGTAGCCCACTCATGCATTAACGAAGTATCTCATTTGGGAACTTTACACTCATTCCCGAGGAGATAAAAACCATCGCTTTTAAGAGTATCCTTCAATTCTTGTCCCTAACGGGTCTAGGTAGCGAGCTTTGAAAAAAGGTCGAGCACAATAGATGTACGTAGGTCGCAGTGCTACAGGTGCTACAAACATCTGACAATAGCCCAAACACCCAATAAAAAGAAAAAAAAATCATCAATGTATGTCTCAATATATACGTAAACAAAAATTAATAATTTATCTACTAAACTGCGGGAAGAGATAGTTAGTAATGTGGAATAGTAACTCCATTAGTAACAATTTACAATGTTAGGTTGAATTCCACGCGGTTCCCTCTGGAAACAGTCGTAGTTCATTTCAGGCGAAGTCGTGACGATGGAACGATGGTTATCGCCTACTTCACGCTCATTCTATCCTTCACTGATGTCCCGTCAGAGTATACCTTTAGCGCAGGCGGGTCCACCATGCTCATCCTTAATTCTTCACTGATGCCCCGCCAGAGTATTGCGGGCGGGCGGAGTATTATAGGCGGGTCCATTCCATTATCATCCATTAAACCTCAACTGCTTGTTTGGATGGTCAAAAACAGTTGATTGCAACGAAATTTAAATGTCTATGACTGATTCCGACGACCTTATCAATTCCCTAAATTTATTGGGCAAAAATTTTATGTAACTAAAAATAAATGTACGATAAACAACATAAATATTATGCGTTATAAATCGATATTTAATGACTTTCGATTATGTTCTGCTATGCCTAATATAGAGTCAAAAATCGGTAAATAGAAAATTACATGATATACCCTTTTCCGATGAAAATAGTAAAATACAAGTTTTTAATTTCCTAACATTCCTTTAATACGGTATGGTTGTAGAATGCTAACACGACCTCATTACTCTGTGCTCGATACGTCCATTCGAGGGTACATCGTATGGTTTTAGTGCTTAAAAAGTTCTACCCAGTGTCTTCCCTCCGTGGATATGATCTTAGTGAAAATTTTCTTACTTCATAAGACTCTTAAGTCGTCATTATAAATCAGTTTTTCAGAGAATTATTAGCAACAATAGATTTACGCAATTGAGTGATGCCGTGTAATTAAGTGCAATCGTTTCAACTCCTATATTGACTTAACGTAAATTTATAACTTTACATTATATATGAGTATATATAATGATCTGTATAAGTTTATATTATACCCGTGTACATAATATAATATCGATGATATTATAAAAAATAAATTATTCATAGAAATATCGAGATACCATTTACTTGGAATAATATTTATATTCAATATAAAATTATGAGTTTATTGTGTTTGCATCTGTTTTATCTGCAGCTTCCGTGGAAACTGCCAGTGGTAGTGCTCACGTGTAATGATTTAATAAATTGTTTATACACGTGCATTATGAGTCGGTGATGCAGCGTTAGATCAGACTACTTCACTTTCAGATAGTCACAGGTTCGATCCCTGTAAAAAACAAACATTTGTGAATGTCTGACTGATTGTGTTGGTTTGGGTGTTTTCTATGTATGATAATTTTTTATTGTATAAAATACATCTTCCGTGTTCTATGTTTATCATTTGTTTAGTATCGATAGTATAAGCCCTGCTTAGTTTGATGATGAAATAGTTCTTCTATTTTCTTTAACAACTTACATAACATTGTCTAGTTTATATACTATGTTTTTTTGTAAATACATAATATACTTAGATAACACACAGTTTGATACAAACAATCATACTCACGAATAAAAATGTATATACCGTGCGAAGAATCGAACCCGCGACCATCGGAATTAAAGCGGTATGCTAAACCGCTAGACTACTGAGGGCGTTTGCTAGATCTTATTAATATTATAAACGCGAAAGTTTTTCAGTATTAATTCTTTCAAGCAAAAACTACTGACCGGATTTTGATGAAATTTTTTGATCAGAACTACACATTTCATGCGGGCGAAATCGTAGGCACAGCTAGTATTATATATTACAAATTAGATTAACTTATCTATGGCACTGATCTTTACCATATGTGTGCTGATGCTGTGCAAATGTGGTATTCTAATTTTATCACAAATAGCATATACAAATACATTTACCATTGTACTATTTGAGACATTATATTGCTCAAACTATTGCTTTGAGAATCTTTATAACACATGAAACTTGAATATGTATATTTCAAAACACGTCTTGTTTATAATGTATTCGTCTTCATAGTTTTCAAAATTTGCTTCAATTTGTTTTAATAATATTATGACATTGCAGTCGCGGTCATTTACATAGAAAGATTGGCAGACGTAACGAAACGTTGGTAATTTTCTTTATAAATATTCCTATTGGTTATTTACAATTGGCTTTTATCTTTAACCACAAATCTTATCACTTTCTTTATTCGTCTACACGATTTTTGGCTACTCCAACAGATACACATGTTCTAGTAGTAGATGTTTGCCTCGTTCTACTTATTATTATATTTGTTTGGTAAATTTGGCATTCAATATTCATTCTGCATGCTTAGACTATTGCAGCGTCCTTCGATTTTTCTTCCTCATCATTATCTTCATCAATTCTTCGTATTTCTTACTTACAGTATTACTTTTCTGTTGCAACATCAATGCAATACACGAAATTATCAGGGGTACCTATCTTGACAAAACTTCTTGGTTCATCTACGTTTCATTCTTCATCTTTATTTATTTTAACAACATCTTCTTCATGATGTCACATGACTTTCAATGGATTATTAATCACTGCATAATAATCCATAAGTTATAACCTATTTACTGTCAGTTTTCTGATATACATTGCCGCATTAAAATTCTACGGTCCGTCTACGTTCCAGTAACGTTTATGGGTTTATTGGTTTAGTTTCGTAATGTTTATCGGTTTTTCATTTAAATATACAACAGTTTATATTTACACGAAACACTTGGATCTGTTATTTCTTATGTTACTTCGTTCGCTGAAATATCGTGTACTTTAAATGTTGGATATTTTATTCAAATAGCTTTTGATACTCATGCTCAAATTAGTTTTTTTTCATGTTTTCTAGTTAATTATTCTTATAACAAGTCGTTTTATAATATATTATCTTTTATATAAGTAAATGCAATATAAGAATTATTTAATATTGTTCCAGGTATCAATTGAAGAAGACAATAATCGAATACATTCCGAAGACTCAAATATCAATTAAAACAAGACTGAATTAGATTATTAAGGAATCCATTCCAAAAGATGTTGACTGAATGAGGAATATTGACAACACAAGATGTTCAAGCTTTTGGGAGGTTTAAGCGTATATTTCAAATACCAGCCCATCAGGACTGACAATGCTGTCTTCAGGCTACACAATATCTTCACGACGGTGTTACTGCTGACATGTTCGATAATTATAACAGCAACTCAATATGTTGGGAAGCCGATTCAGTGCATCGTCAGCGGGCTCCCGGTGGATGTGGTCAACACTTTCTGTTGGATCACATCGACGTTTACAATGCCTGATGCATTTACCAGAGAGGTGAGTTTATTAATATCTGCTATCTTAGTATTATATATAAGGTTCAAATTGTCATAAATAGAATTCAATTTGATTTCTAGTGAGGTTGGTTATCATTTTAACACTGTAGCGTTATACATAATGTGATTAGGTGGCGCTACTTTATTTTTTTATTTCCTGTAGTATCTAAATAGTGAGTATAGAGGTGGAATTATTGTACTACATTAGTAAGTTAAATTTGATAGTGTGCTGTATGTATGGCTTATTAGTAACGCGCGTTATATATAATGTGTTCCTACTTCTTTTATTTGTTTTCTTTACTGTCTAGTGAGTATAATTATACTACATTAATAAGTTTATTTGATAGTGTGCTACATTGCTTATTAGTAACGCGTACATTCGACGCGGAGTCGAAATGTGGACTGACTTTACACTGAACTTAAATCTATGTTATGTGGAGACGTAAACTAATCGAAGGGTACCGAGTGTTGACAGAAATATTACAAGTGTAGGCACCGAGGAACTTCTTAGAGGTAGACTTTGAACAAATTAATTTATTAAGAAATAATTGATTATGCCGGGGCTAGTATATCATTATCATTACATAGTATAAAACAAAGTCGCTGTCGCTGTTTGTCCGTCCCTATGTATGCTTAAATTTTTAAAACTACGCAACGGATTTTGACGCGGTTTTTTTAATAGATAGAGTGCTTCAAGAAGAAGATTTAAATATACGAGTATAATACATGTACACCCGTGCGAAGCCGGGGCGAGTAGCTAGTACATAATAAATTCACAATAGAAACACGTGTTTGTTTGTTTCACTTTCATAATTTTGGCCGTTTGCCAGTCATGTGCCATTTATGTATACGTATTTACTTTGAATCTCTTTGTTATTCGCAAAGATGACGGGACAGTTTTATTAGTTAGAAAACGCTTTTTAAGCACATTGTTCTAATGATCCCAATTTCACCTAGTGCTATTTAGACTCTAGAACTTTTGAAGGCAATCCAAAAATATAGTTATTTGACAAATCGACGAAATTTATTTCAACTGTCCTGGACTTGTCAATATGTTCTCATTAACTTATTTATTAATTGTTATAAAGGTAATTCTTTAATAAAATACCTTTACGATGGTGATCCCAGATGGAGGTAGACAGATGAATTTCAGTGGTTGACGTGGTGTATGCAACACTTAGTGCACATCTATGCCTCATATGTCTGAGTATATATATAATGGATGATAATCTAATGATGCACCCGCCTGCGCTAACGGTTTACGCTGGTGGGGTATCAGTGGAGGATGATAAAATGAACATAAGGTCAGGTCAGTTAGCCCACCAGGACAAATCCCGACTGAAGTTTAAAAATCTATCAATATACATATCGGAGATTAAGCAGAAAAATGACATTTTTCAAAATTAGAAGCTAGAATTGCCTCCTTTTACATAAGTCAATTAAGTTAACCACGCCTTCTTAATCATTATTTAATACTTTTAAAATGATATATAATACTTCTATGTAAATTTTTGTTAAAACTTTAAAGGAAAAACGAAGTAATTTAAATAAATTTAAAGAACTTTAAATGCTTGTCTTGCAAAAAATTACATTTTGAATAGTGCCATTTTTCTAACGGACGATATCTAATTAGAAATTAAACACAACAGCAAAGAAAGATATAAAATAAAAAAAAAGAAAGAGATTATCGTATTCAGTTTAACTAACAAACTTTTCAGCTTTATAATATTAGAATTAGCAGGTAATTTGTTGTAAAGAAGTGAAGACGGCAATTTACTTGTGTATATTTCGTAATATCGTATCAAATTTACTGCACTTTGTATTTTGTAGTAAATCGAGTTTCTAGGTCATAACGAAACAAAGGACATGTTTAGTAGCTAATCAATTATATAAATACATTGAATTTGGTTACTTAATTAAAATGAATTGTTCTCTTTATAGGATGACATTACATCGATATATAGGATACATTATATCGATATTATGTTAGTTAACAATTTAAAAACTATGCTAGTAAATTACAATTCATTCAATTCATATATTTATGCCTATTTCCACGTCCAGAAGCACTAGGTCCGCAGCAGTGCAGTGATGTCCAGTGTCTCTGGAGCGGAGAATCCGACATATTTGATATGGTGTTTAGGAGGCTGTTTGCACTTATGTAGTAGTTTATGTACTAAATAGATGTCTTTCCTAAAAAACTCATTTTTATTAATATTAGTGGTCGAAATTTGACCATAATTAATTTAAAATTCAGTAGGACTATAGACAAATAATATTAGAGATAAACAATATTAATCCATTCTCAATTTGACCTTAGATTTTAACAATAAACAACACTCGTATGTATGTATGGATGTGTATGTATGTAATGTTGTTTTTATTGATTTAATGTATTATTTATGCATAATTTTAAAAAAATTGGCATTCTGCATTCCTTCTTTATATAAACTATAAATTTGCGAAATTTAAAGAAAATAAAGAAAGAAATAAAATATTTTATAATATTTTCTTTATATATCTTCTATATTTGTCCGCGCAATTTTTGTAAATAGGGTTAACAAAGATTTTGTTTCAGTAGACACATTGACTTTGGTCACTTAAATAATATTAATTATCGTCTTTATAAGATCACGTTACAAAATAACATTACTTATGTAAATAACTTTTCGGAAAAAAGACCTCAATATTATTAAAATACCTACTGGCCAATCTCGGCCGACCAGGTACTATACAAACAATAAGTAAAGAAATGTAATTTCAAAAACACTGCCACTTACTTAAAATAATGAAATGCACTAATGTGAGTGTACAGTAAGTAATTAGAATCAGTTGTCCGCAATTTCGGCTGCAATGAGACGAGTTTATTGTTCAAAGTGGACCAACATCCGTCGTGAATCGAGGCGTGTTAATGGACTCAAATGGAATGATTCATTCATTCGGACATGTCCTGCGCACAGATTTTATGACTACAATAGACAATTGACGATCTTTTATCATCATCATCATCTGCTTCTTCCTTATACCATTTAATTGGGGCCGGCGTAATATGACGATTGACGATTTTTTTACTTCTCATTTGATTGTTTATTCTTATTATTTACTAGCCGTACCTGCGACTTCGTCCGCGTGGAATTTAACTTTATTTTTCTAAAATAAAAGTAGTAGTCTAAGTTACTCCTTATTACATCAGCTACCAAAAACGGTCCCGTCAAAATTGGCCCAGCCATTTCAGAGATTAGTCGCAACAAACAGACAGGCAAACAGATAAAAATTGTAAAAAAATTTAAATTGGTCTATGTACCGTATTTATATTCATATGCATGTAGTAAAATTAGGTTAAGATTATTTCAATATTACAAACAGATACTCCTATTTTATTTATATCTATAGATAATTGAGAGGTTTGATTGTAACCCTGGTGAAATTTTAATTTTTTTTATACTCTAAATGTACCTGTATAAACTTGGAAACGGAGGCGGTTAGAGGACACTTTTGTGACGTATGGACGCAATTCATGATTTGTCAAGTAAGACTCATCATAGTATTTGGACATAAACGCTAAACCCGCAAGACCTATGTGAGGCACTCCTACAGCTATACATTTTTTTTTCGACCTATTCCAATCCTGATCTATGTAGCTGGTCTTCACCAAGCCATGGGGGCGACTGCAGACGGCACTCCAAAGACGCGTAATGTCTTATGGAACGGATGAAGGCCCACTCCAGCCTGACAGATACGACTTTAGTCTGAGGGCATCACTAGTTGTACGGACCTCGGCTCAGGCAGTCCTAATTTCGATCCCCGTTTGTATTGGACGGGGGTCAATCAGAGTTGGTTTCACAAGTCACATAAGAGCGAACGAACGGAAACATTAGTTAATCGTTGCCGAATTTCTGGACGACATCATCATCGTCACTATAATATTTATCATAACGATAAAAATTAGTCACACAGGATTCTTTCTAAGCTGATGAAATCGTGGGCATCAGCTATAGAAAATAAAAATATTCAAAATTTATCGGCTAGGACACCGGCCCGGCCAAGTATTCCTCATTAGAGGGTTTACTAGATGAAGACCTAAAAATAATACTCAGGGGTCTATAAATTCTTTAAACTTCTTAATTATTTTATGAAATTTAGATTACTATGCTAACTAAATCCATTAACTAATTACCGATTTTTCATGTAAAATGTAACATCCGTTTAAATATATGATTGTTTTGGCTGCAGGTGGGAAAAGAAGTAGCACATCCCGGAGTTGCAAACGAATACGACAGTACGCAAGAGAAGAAATACTACACATACTACCAGTGGGTCTGCTTCGTACTCTTCTTTCAGGTAAGAATAAATAAATAAATAACGCCAGACAATTAGCACATCGCCATCTAGTCCCGCAGTAAAGAGAGCTTGTGTAATAGGTACCAGACAACTTACTTAAATAATTATATTTTTTTGTAAATATTATACATACATAATATATATAGAAAACAACCCGACAGATACAAACAATAATACTCATGTGTACAAATATTTGTACCGTGCGAGGTATCGAACCCGCGACCATTGGAAGTGAAGCGGTGTGCTAGACCACCGAGGCCGAAGAAAGATAGTTCTACATTGGATATACTGCTATTGAGTTAAAACAATATGTTTACTATGACTAGGCTCGCTACTGGACACTGCAATTTAATAAGCACATACCAAACTTAAGCCTGTCCTTAACAAAGATTTGCAGATTTTATTGTTGGTCCGAGTCTCTTATCGTATTATTTCGTCAACACAAACACAGCTTACAAAGCAAGCTGCATGGAGTCTGAAATAGGTGAAACTGAGGTACCCAAGTACACTTTTTAGAAGTTACAAACAATGATTCAAAAGATAATTGAAAAATGATTAAAATTAAATGTATTATATTAAAGTCATTTATATTTCAAAGTTAAAGTCAAAATCTTTAATTCACGTACGATCTATCGGCTTCTTGTACACTTCTTATTGTTTGTTTATCACTACCCCAAAATTAGGAAGAGACTCAACTGGTACATTATTTAAATGTAATTTAATTGAAAAAATCAAAAATACTTAATCGATTTTACAAACTAGTTCCCACTAGCAACAATTATTTTTCGCGCCACCCTTAGAGATCTATAATTGCCATTTTCCATCTTTAAGATACTAAAAATGTCCCCATTGCTAGCAATGTGCCATGTCAGGTTGACCTCTGGAAAGTATCGTAATAAATTCTTGGTAAATTTGTCACGATGGGCTAACCGCCTCGGCTCATGTTCATCTTAACATCTGTCATTGGTGTCCCGCTAGCGTAAACCTTTAGCAACGGCCGCACCATTCCATTATCATATGTACATTAAAACAACGAACTAAAATTGCCCTCGTTGCTAGCAATGTACTATGTCAGCTTGACCTCTGGAAGGTATCATAATAAATTCTTGGTGAATTTGTAACAATGAGCTAACCTTCTGGCCTCATGTTCATCTTAACATCCTTCACTGGTGCCTCAACATCGTAATCCTTTAGTAACAGCTGCACCATTCCATTATCATCCATTAAAAAAACAACGAGATACGACAGACGAGATTTGACATCATAAGAGTCTGTAATAGACCATGTAGAATAAAGATATTTTGAATTGAATTGAAGATAAGCAATTTGTTCACAGATTGGATTTATTACTGAAACATAAGCACTACAAATTACGTAATTCTGATTAACTGCGGTTTTCAAATATGAATAAACAATTGATTTATTATACAACAATGTAGGCTACCGCAATTAATCAACTTCTATACCTACGAGGATATCGTTTACTCTTATAGTACGTCAGTTGTTTTCCCAACGCCATCAATAATTGCAATTTGGTTAGGCATTAGGTACAATTGTTATTAGTGTGGTTAATAGTATTTTTTTATAAATATCTTTATCAGTATTTTTATTTCATTCATATTTTTTTTCCTTTGTTAACTATAGTAATATTACAATGAGAATAGAAATATAAACAATATAAATTTAAACTTAAAGTGCAACTTAAAGTGCTTTGAGTGTGGTTAATAGTATTTTTTATAAATGTCTATCACTATTTTTATTTAATTCATTATTTTTTCCTTTGCTAGTTTTGCTGCTAATATCATATAGAGAATGAAAATATAAATAATATTTATTCAAACCTAATATAAGCAATATAAGCAATTTGAATAGACATATTTTTTTGTTTCTACCACTCATTCGGAACGCAGCCTCATCACAAGAAGAATGAGCAACGAATTTGCGTGTAGTTAGTTAGTTAGTCTGATATATTATTATGCAAATACATCTGCATAATAATATATCAGAATAAAATCATAAATACTTAATCGATTTTACAAACTAGTCCCCACTAGCAAATAATCATCTTTCGCCACCCTTAGAGATGTGTATTTTTCTTAATGGGTGGTAATAGAATGTTGCACACTCGTCTTCGCTAACGGATACGTAAAATTTGTGATGCCTACTATAATTACATCCGTGCAAGGTTGGTGCTAGTTTTGTGTTCTTTGTACATTGTTCCGTATTACATGCGTGACCTTATGAACTATATATTTTTAATAATTAAAAGAAACAATTTTGAAATTCGCTCTAAGTTGGATATTTTTTTAAGGTGTTAAGTGAAATTATTTTCTTTCAAATTTGAGACACCTCATTTAAGAATGCTCGATTTAATTTTTTCATGGGTAATGTATTAGGGTTACTGAACCCACGCATACGTCACAGTTGCAACGCTAATACACCGAGTAAAATGTCTATACTAAAATAGAATATTTGCGCTAAACAGTCAGTCACGGCGCGTGTCAACGTCTGCCCACTATCGGGGTCACAGACGGTTGAGACGGTAACGGTAACCACACAGCTGACGTATCGGCCGGTTATTTAACATGCTCGTGACCTACTGCCGAAACATGTGGATTTGCCACTTATGTTTTCGCCATTAGCGACTCATTGGTTGTTTGTCACATAGACTGTATATGTATATTTTGTAGTTGATAATAGAATGATGGACCCGCCAGCGCTAACGGTTTACGCTGACGGTACACCAGTGGAGGATGATAAGATGAGCATGAGGTCAGATCAGTTAACCCATAGTGACAAATTCACCAGGAATTTATCATGATAGTTTCCAGGGGTGAGAATGGTACATTGTCAGCGATGGGGTCCACATTACTAACAATCCTCTTATCATATCCTCTAATCCTCCTCCTAGACTATGTATATTAAAAAGAGAAGTAAGGACTTTTCGAACATTATATGTCCGGAGTACGTTTGACATAGTTCAAGTTAATATGGGGAAAGAATACAATAAGCTTCAATAATATATTGTTATAATTATGCTTCAAAATACATTGAATTAAAGAAAAAACATTTTTCTTTTTACTGTTTCTGATGTACGCAAAAAGTTATATTTAACTTTAATAACGTTAAACTTAAGTTTATACGAATTATGCCCAAGTTTGGCCACTGGGCGACGAACTAGTTTTGTTAAATGATGAAGGTAGTCAACAAGGTCAGTGTCAAGTTAAGCCTCCTTCAAGAAAAGAGCTTATTCTTTTTTAAAAGGCCGGCAATGCATTTGCAATTCCCCTGATGTTGCGGGTACTCATGGGCGGCGGGAATCGCTTACCATTAGGTGAGCCGCAGGCATGTTTGTCCCTGTGCTATAATAAATACAAACCGTTCACTTCAGGTCTAATCTGCTACCGCAGACTATTTTTACTTCAAACAAAATGGAACTGCATCATAATTGTTGTGTGAAAATCATTAAAATGGTCAGGAACATTTTCTCGGATATAGCTTTTTGAAATAAGTCTTCGTCTGCTTTTGGATTTATTATGATACTTGCTGTAATATTAGAATTACTGCGATTTGGTGTCACAGTAGAGTTAAATTTGTAATGCCAACACAATTGTAGCGTTGTTGTGTGGAATCATTAAATTAATCGGAAAGCTTTTCTCGACTCTGTGGCTCCTTAACTACGTCTTTGATCGTTTTGGGAATTATAATGATATTTTCTGCTACTACTAGAATTGCTGCGATTTTGTCCGCGTGACATATTTCCTTATGATTGGTTTAACGGTTGAAGGTTTTATGCTAAAATATACAAGGTCAAACTCCGTTTCTTAATATTAAGATTAGATTTCATATATTTATATATTCCGTACTATTTGATCGACATTATCTGTTCATGCCAATGATAAATTTGATCTGCATATCTTTCGGTAAATTATATTACAATCTAAAGTTACCTAATTCAAGGCTACTGTTATTTCTCGTACTTGTTACTCGCCGGTCCTTCAAACATGGAAGATCTCGTTCACTTTGCGGGAGATGATCACAAATCTCTCAATATTGAGTTGTGCCTACATCGGGGCCTTATTTCCACCAATTTAGTGTTAACTTCAAATGGTGATCCAGTCATGACACAGTGACCACCAGTATTTGCTCTTAAATTATTGGCGCTAAAAAATAGTTCATTAGCCATAACTTTTTTTTTCATTTCGCATTTATAATATTACTATAAATAGTTATTGTCTTTGCTGCTAATTTGTTAGTTTGTTACCATAATCTCAATAGCGTCACTCCTGACGCTTATTGTATTCAGTTATGACAGTTATTCACCATATAAGACGATGGGGGAGATATGTGTGAGTAGGTAACGGGTTGTCTTATATAGTCAATCGGCCGTACTATGTCATTACGTGAAGGTAAAAGTATGTTAAATATACGCGATAGTTCGTCCTTCGTCTTCCTCTGCTTGTTTGGTTATTTTGTCTCAACTGACTGGTTAAAAAAGTCATAAGTTCACGTCTGGTAAACACTAAACAACTTTGTTATTTATGGTATTAAGTCTAATTCCACTAATAGCAGGTGTTAGACAAATATGCAGTGCGAACACCTAGCCGCTATTGGAAGCGTTATGATCTTCTCTATTAGTGATTAAATTCTGTCTGTGCCGTGTAGATCCAATAATCTACATCCATCATCGTCATCATAATAATAATAATGGTAGCGGAAGTAAAAAAATAATAAAATACGTTAAATACAATGGACTTCCGCAAATTAACATGTAATTCGATAAAATACATAAAAATTTTGTCTGTTAATTTATATTTCTGACTAGCTGTACCCGCGACTTCGTTCGCTATTTTTATTTTAGAAAAAATATTTTCTAAAATAAAAGTAGCCTAAGTTACTCCTTATTACATTAGCTACCTGCCAAAAAATCGGTCCAGTCATTTCAGAGATTAGCCGGAACAAACAGACAGACGTTATTTTGGTGTATGTATTGCATTTATATTCATATGCAGGTAGTAAAAAACGGTTATTTCAATATTACAAACAGACACTCGAATTTTATTTATATGTGTAGATTAGTTCGACAGACTAGCTAGTGGTAGGCTAGCCTTGTGTTACGTTTGATTCAAATTTACCTAGTGAAATGTGGGCATATCAAGTGTCACCGTTTTTTGTATTCATGGGTATGATTGTCTCTCTGTCATAACCATGAATACAAAAATTTGCATCATACGATAAATTTAACTATTAGTGAAATGTGGGCATATCAAGTGTTACCGTTTGTATATCGAATTAGCACACCACCTTACTTCCTATAGTTGCAGGTTCAATTTATCGTATGATGCAAATTTTTGTATTCATGGGTATGATTGTCTCTCTGTCATACCCATGAATACAAAAAGTTGCGTCATACGATAAATTGAACTATTAGTGAAATGTGGGCATATCAAGTGTTACCGTTTGTATATCGAATTAGCACACCACCTTACTTCCTATAGTTGCAGGTTCAATTTGCATCATACATATCAGTCTGGGTGTTTTCTATGTCTATTATGTTTGTATTTACAAATATTGCTTACCATCAGGTAGGCCGCTAGCTTGTTTGACATTCTTGACAACATTATGCCTCTGTGCTCTAATTTTACTGCCCTATTTCATTCTTCAAGCTTACAAAGCTTGTGTTGTGGGTAAAGGACTAGAGGATGAGAAAGGTATCAGATAAAATAATTCTATCAGTTTTTTAGTACCCATAACACACTTTGCTTAGCTTGGAACTAAATTGAGTTTTATGAAGTCCAAGGATATTATTATCACACTTAACCACAGCAGACGATCACGATAACCTCTTTACTTGCGTCTAGGTGGCGTTGTGTGAATTGTCCAGAATTATTATTATTATTATATGGTATAGGTTAACATTTGCCATTATCTGGACCGTCAGCTAGTTTACATTCAGTTATAGTAGTGTCTGCTCATATTAAACCTAATTTATATGCAGTCAATGTTATTCATACAATATTTTTATTTCATAGGCAATAATGTGCTACACACCTAAGTTCCTATGGGACGCCTTCGAGGGCGGGTTGCTGCGGACCATTGTGATGGGTCTCAATGTTGGGGTCTGTCATCAGGAAGACAAGAAGAAAAGGAAGAAAGTCCTCATTGCGTACCTGATGAGACATCAAAACGTATGTACTTACTCTTTAATAATAAGTGTAGAACATGTCTTATAATTTTAACGTGTTTATCTGTGTATCTGCATCTATCTGTGCCATCATAGCTCCCAAGGACAGGGGCCGATTTTGATGCGATATTTTTGCCATAACTAAGATGGTTATTTGCTGTAATTTTTGAGAATGCGTTCAGGCGTTTGAGAGTCTACAAAAAACACAAACAAAACAGTAAAAATAGTTTTGTTATTGAATAGTCCCTTTATCCAGGAAAATTATAGGGTACAACTAAGGGCGGAGCTGCAATGAAAATGATGATTGATGCAAATGAAGTTCTACCGTACACAGTTTTAAAAAACACCACAAAGAATACTTATTAAAAAAACAAATCTTAGGCTTTCCACAGAAATTTCTTGGCTAGCGGTTGCAATCTCACGTAATGATTTTTAATTATTTTTTCTATTTTTTTCTTATTTATATTTTCTTTTTTCTCGTTTAACCACTTAGTTAAAATTATATCAAATTATACTCTGAACTATTTACTTTATTTCATTATAAACACACCGCACAGACAGTCACCAATAATATTGCTCTCTTTATTTTATATTTATTTTAATTATTATTTTCACGTACCCTCAAATGGGTTGAAACTGAAAATCAGTGTTTTGTTCCCTGAACAATGTTCCACGCTGAGCTTCGACCTTTTTGTATTGCTACAGATCACATATAATAACACAATTTTATAAATCTTATGTCGTATTATGTATTGTCTATTCTTATGAACATGTTGTGTGTGATTAGTAACAGACAAATAAACGATATATCTATCTAAGTACCGCGGGTCTTATTTTATAGCGAGCTAGCTTTATTTAATTTTAATATTTCTTTATGCTATTTATTGGTATTCAATATACGAAACGGTATTTGAGCCACGAATACGGAATGGTTTGCGCCTCTGGGAACTGGTTGCCTGTACAACTGCATTGTTCGTGCTTGGCTTTCATAATTCGTTCGTAGGTTCAACGTTTCGTGAATTTGTTTAACACTAGTCTCTGCCCGGACGTAGTCCGCGTGATCATGATTGATCAGAATTAAAAGTATCCAACATGGTTTTTTTTAATTTCTGCATTCGTATCCAAAATATTATGTATATGGCATCCTAATTTAAAGCCTAAAATCATATCGATCAGGCGGGAGTTGGCTTTCAGCCGCTCCATAAGTCCTTCCGAGGGTTTGGAGTGCCATATTCACTCGCCCCCATCGTCCGGTGAGCTGTAAACAGTATTATAGTAGTTTACTTTTTTGTTTTATATATTATACTAGCTACTCGCCCCGGCTTCGCACGGGTGTACATGTATTGTACATATAAACTTTCCTCTCGAATCACTCTATCTATTTAAAAAAAACAGCTTCAGAATCCGTTGCGCAGCTTTAAAGATTTAACTATACATAGGGACGGACAGACAGCGACAGCGACTTTGTTTTATACTATATCATAGGGCTATATCAGTCCTCGCAATACATTCGTACCTTCACGTTATAGTATATATATATGTTCGCACTTGTAATCACAACATAGGTTACAAAGAATACTTTTAGCAGCAATAAGGTTATAAACTGCTGGATATGAAGTTAATATGAAATTTAATTTTACCCGATACTCAATGTGTTATGACGCCGACTGTACTTGCGCGTTTTTTGCTCGAAAGTGCGTACGTGCCCGAAAATAACGGCTCGTCGGCTGTGTCCAACGTGCAAGGAGCCGCGTGCCGCACGAATGACTATGATAGAGATTCTCAGTAAAAAATTTTTTTTTATATTTCTTTTACTTTTTTTATGTAAATGGAAGAGCAAATCAGTTGGCTTTTGGTGGTAAGTGCTATCGTTTAAACATATTAAGAGCGATAAAGTTATCATGTCTCTTTGGTGTGACGTTTCTAATCTTATACATAAAATTCTTGTGTCACAGTTTTCGTTCCCATACTCCTCCGAAACGGCTTGACCGATTCCCGTGAAATTTTGTGAGCGTATTGAGTGGGTCTGAGAATCGGCCAACATCTATTTTTCATCCCCCTAAATGTTAGGGGTAGTCCACCCTAAATTTTTTTTTTTTAAGGCAAAACAAAGTTCGCCGGGACAGTTAGTAAAAGAGTATACGTTCATGGCCGCGGTGGTCTATCTATTTAGGACTCTGCTTTATTTCCGACGCACGCGGCTTCGATTCCTCCCACAATGAAAACATTTGTATTCATGATTATGATTGTATGTATCAGTAAGGTTTTTTTTACTGATGATAATAGAATTGTGCATCCGCCTGCGCCAACGGTCTTCGCTGGCGGGGCATCAGCGGATGATAAGATGATCATGAGGTCAGGTCAAGTTATCCCAACATGACAAATACACCAAGAATTTATAACAGTATCGGTAAGGTCATAAAAAAAAAATTTAAGTGTTCGTATCAGTTGTCTAGTACCCAGAAAACTAGCTCTGTTTAGTTTGGGACTAACTGGCGTTGTTTGAATTTTCCAGGCATGTTATTATTCACTAAATTGTACAGATCACAAGTATCAGATCGTTATATAACTTAGTAATGAACTTATCTTGGAAGATATTACGAAAATAGTTTATCTTTTATAGTTCTGTCGTTTAGTGATTTATTATAGTATTAAAGTTGACAATTCCACTTTTCTTTTAATATGTCATTTGGAATTTACGTACTTAGATAATATAGTTGAAAAATCTCTTTTGAATTTAAATGAAGATGCCTATCCATAAAAAAAAACAATTGCATAAAAAAAAACAAATGGATAAGACACACAAACATAGTACTGAAAACGGTAACTTTTTATCTTCTGGTAGTAGGATGGGTTTTTTTTTTGTTTTGTAGGAAACTATCTAAACCCATAGTGTCTTATTTCAAAAAGATAAATCTGGTTTAGCACTAGTAATAAACCATTGACCAATGTATTCCTTATTACAAAATGAATTCCTTATCTCTAAACCGTGATTCGTCTATGGTCTAAAGTTAGACCTGCGATGCCCCTAGTTTAACAGTCTAAAAGCAAAACGACAAACACCATTTTTAAAAATTGTATTGTTAGTTATTGTTTTGTCAAAAAATCTGTAGTTATGATGGATGCAACCGTTGTCTTTCGTCTCATTTTTGGATTTTAATTATATTTACTTTTGATGCAATATGACGTTGTTATCGATGAAGGTAATACCAGGAAATTGATATTTTGTACAACTAAATGCAATGTATATAAATTTCGCTGTATTACACAAGTTTTGCCCTTCGCGAGTTATTTTCAACATCATTGTGCTGTATAAAAAATATATCGTGACCACAGTCGTGACATTCTATCAAACAGCTTTGTAGCGACATCGTACCTCGTTTTTTGTAATCGGTCAATGAACGCCTATAGCTGTTCTACTTGACCGTACAGCAGGAATACATGCAGTAGTCCAACTACATGTCACAGTGTTCCATTTTTAAAACTCGTTGGAAATACGGTTTATAAATGTTCTGAATCCTTTGTTGGTTTGCGTGTTTTATAATATACTAGCTACTCGCCCCGGCTTCGCACGGGTGTACATGTATTATATATAAAAACCTTCCTTTTGAATCACTCTATCTATTTAAAACCGCTTCAAAATCCGTTGCGTAGTTTTAAAGACTTAAGCATACATAGGGACGGATAGACAGCGACAGCGACTTTGTTTTATACTATGTAATGAAGTTTAACATTAATCTGCAGATTTTGCCAAACAGACGAGGAAACACCACAACACATTTTATGTGGTTGTAACCCACTTATGCGTAAACAAAATATCTCCTTTGGAAAGTATACACTATATCCTGAGGACATAAAAACCACCGCTCCTAAGAATAACCTTCAATTTTTGTCCCTCACGGGTCTAGATAGTGAACTTTGAATAAGAGCGCGCAGAATAGATCTATACAGAACGCAGTTTTACAGGTCTTTAGCACTTGACAATAGCCCAAACCCCACCAATAAAAAAACTGTATTATAGGTATATATGTATCCATAAATGGATAAATTCTAAGAATGCTCAATTGTTTAAGAAATAATTTAGTGTTAAATGACTGCAGTTGTGTACAAGCTATTCTTGTACATAACTAACATTTTATCAGCTGTTAATGTAGGTTTCTCTACATATATAAAATACTACGAATTTTTTTTTTATTTGTTCCTTGTGTAATACATAATTGTATAGGAATATATATTATTTCATTTTCGTGTTGTATACAATTTCTATAAAAATAAACTTTTGTCGAGTAAATTGACTAAGACTATTAACTTTTTATATTTACAGAAATTATAAGTACAATTGTAACTGCATTTGATAAAGAAAATTGTATCGCTAATGTTAGTTGTACTACTGGAGGTAATGCCTGCTCTATGGTCAGCGTTCATTGCTCGCTACCGGTTACGCAATCTATCTTCCTATAATTCCCTGTACATCAACCGTCGTCTATCCGTACCTACTCGGGCTTACCCTATAAGGGCAGCGATGTACAGTTCATTTTTTGCGGCAGCGACATGAAGTAACTTTTCCGGTTTCGAAAGTACGAATGGTAAGCGTCCATGACGCCTGTGGCCATTGAATTTGTTAGGTTCGTCAGCGCTGAGATACAATCGTTTAATTTGATTGTAGGCGAATTGACAATTATCTCATTAGGTTGTTATCTATACTATGCTGTAATGTTTTTTTTTAATGTTACATGTATTTAGGGACTTATGATAATGCCAGTCCCACCGTATCTTATGCCTAATGTTATCCTCTACTGTAAAAGTAAAAAAATTGCTAGTGATAATACGGGATCAAATAATATATCGTGGTAGAGGGAAAGGGGATTGATAGTAATGTGGACTCATGACCCCATTGCTAGCAATGTACCATGTCAGGTTGACCTCCACGCGGTTCCCTCTGGATATCCTAACAAATCCTTGGTGAATTTGTCACGATGGGCTAACTGACCTGACCTCATGCTC